AACTACCTACTCGGTGCCGCGTGTAGCCGCTTGCCCTAATTACCCTAACGAGCTAGTATAGACATACCCCAAGGTGCTGCAGGCCCCGGTCGACCACCGGGAACACTTCACAGACATTTGTGTCAGGTGGTCGGGCAGGGCACACGGTGCCCGCGTGTTCAGGAACTCAAGCCTGTACCACGAGCTGGAGGTGGGCGCATTCTTCCCCCACCATGAACTTGCTGTTGGGGATGTGCAGATGCCACTATGCATTGTGGGGGATGTGGCCTATCCCCTGATGCCATGGCTTATGAAGCTGTACACCGGCCACCTGGATCCCAGCAGGGACCAATTCAATGGACCTGGATGCAGGAGGAGTGCGCCTTTGGCCACTTCAAGGCACATTTTTGGTGCCTCCTCACCCACCTGGATGTGGGGAAGCACAACATCCTTGAGGTGGCGGCAGCATGCCGTGTCCTCCATAACATTGTGGAGAGAAAGGGGGAGGCCTTCCCCCCCAAGGGTGGGGGGCAGATGCTGACCAAGAGGGGTGAGCCTTCCAGCACCCACAGACAGCTGCCATCTGACAGGCCCGTCAGGCCAGAGTGCAAATCTGGGAAGCCCTGAAGGAGAGGTTCTCTCAGGGACCCCAGTCACTCTCCCCAGGGCCTCCTCTCTAGGGGCCTCTGCCTTGCGGTCCTTCCCCACCACAATCCCCCTTCGCCCTTTCCCTGACCTCCCCATAAACACACCCATTTGCTTTTCCAAAAAATGCCAGTCTGTATGGATGAAAGATTCTGAAAAGGTGGGAAAGGGGGGAGGGCTCCTAACTGGGAGTGGGAGGAGGCAGCTTGAAGTGCCCCCTCAAGGAGTTGCAGTCGGGTGGGTCCGGGGAGCACAGAGGGGTGGACAGGAGGGGGCTGAAGCAGGGTCAGGGTTGGCAGGTGGGGTAGGGGGAGGGAGCATAGGCATCGTTGGGGAAGGGGCTCGGGCATTTTTAGGGGGGTCATGGGCATTGCAAGGTGGGGGAGCAGAGGTATGGCATGGGGAGGGAGCAGAGGCATAGCAGGGGGGCAGGAGGATGGGGAAGGGGTGTAACGGGGGGG